AATAACAATTCAAGGAAATCCACATTTCTTCCTTCTTCTAACAAATACAATTCGAGAAGGAAAAACAATAAAATTTAAGATTTGAAAATAAACCGTTCTTTTTCCAAATATATTTAGAACTAAAAAGAACTAAATATTGCAAGATTGATGATTATTTAACGTAAATTGTACAGTTTTGTATCAGATTTGGTTAAGATGAGGATGATAGTGTACTCTCTTTGTACACAATAACACTTTGTAGCAATATCAGCTGATGGTTTACGAGTGGGGGGAATATTGTATTCTTTATAGCTTACAACAGTCTCACAAACTCACAGCACTGCAGTATAAGTAAAGTATTTCGTACAGTCAAGGGAGTCAAGGACATCAGTAGCTGGATATAGAAATAAAAAGAATAGGATTTTAGAAGGAAAATGAGAAAAAATGAAGAATAAAGTAGCAAAATAATTGCAAAAAAGCTAATATTAAGATAAGGAGTTGAAATCAGGGGATTTTAGTGAAAGTGTATGAAAAGCAGTAAAATTACCATTTTGAATAAAATAAAATTAGTGAAAATGAATCGCTTGAAATGAGAAGAATAGGAGTGAAGCAGTGAATATTAGGAATAGAAAGAAGTGAAAAGTAGTGAACAGAAGTGTAAAGTAGTGAACAGAAGTGAAAAGTAATGAACAGAAGTGTAAAGTAGTGAACAGAAGTGAAAAGTAATGAACAGATCTGTAAAGTAGCGAACAGAAGGGAAAAGTATAAATGAAAAGAATTAAAAAGTAGTGAATAAAAGTGAAAAGTATTTGAACAGAAGTGAATTAAGTAGTGAACAGAAGGCAAAAATAGTGAAAAAAGTAGAAAGTAGTGAACAGAAGTTAAAAGTAATGAACAGAAGTGAAAAGTAGTGAACAGAAGTGAAAAGTTGTGAACAGAACGAGAAAAGTAGTGAACAGAATGAGAAGTAGTAAACAGAAGTGTAAAGTAGTGAGCAGAAGTGAAAAGTAGTGAACAGAAGGGAAAAGTAGAGAACAGAAGTGAAAAGTAGTGAACAGAAGTGATAAGTAGTGAACACAAGGGAAAACTTGTAAACATAAGTAAAAAGTAGTAAACAGAAGTGTTAAGTAGTGAACACAAGGGAAAAGTAGTGAACATAAGTATAAAGTAGTAAACAGAAGTGTAAAGCAGTACACAGAAGGGAAAAGAAGTAAACAGAAGTAAAGTATGCCATTTCCTAGAGAACGATCTTTGGACAAAAC